CCTAGTAACTTTTTTTTAAAAAAGAAACCAGAATCCAAAGTTCACACTTTGTATTTTGTTATACATGTACTTAGTATCTTTAAATTTTTAGAAGAGTCTCCTTTCTTTCTCTTCGTGGATTTCTGCTAGGATTCTATCAATTAATTTCAGATAAATATCATTTTGTTTTCATGGGCGATTTTCAAGTCTCTGAATGAACTTGGAAGAAAGGAAGCAGGAATATGGGTGAATTCTGAGTTTATATGTGAGAAGTACCATGTGCTATATAAATTAGACATGATACAGACTGTTTTTATGTTTATATATCTATGTATCTATATATCAAAACAGAAACATAACCTTAGGTTATATGTTGGTAATATATACAGAGGAGCTAGCCCATATGTATGTATCGGTTAGCTAAGGTTTTTAATGGAATGGCACTGAAGCAAACTGAGCATTGAAAGATGAATAGCAGTTTACCAAAGGAAAAAAATGATGTAAACCCTTCTACAGAGGAGGCTGAGGCAGGAGGATTGCAAGTTGGAGGCCATTRTGAGTAAATTAGCAATACCCTGTGTCAAAATTAAAAATAAAAAGAACTGGGGATGTAGCTCAATGGTAGAAAGCCTCTGGGTTCAATCCACAGTTCCACAAAATAATAATAATAGTAATAATAATAATAATAACAACAACAAATGAATGAAAGAAAAATAGAATGTATGTTATAAGATGTTTTTATAAAGCTTTCAATGCCACTTTCTGACCTGCAGGTGATGAAGGGAGCATGCCAGCAGATATAGCCACATTATTAAAAACGTCCATGGGCCTGTGAAGTAAGAATTTTGAATTCCTAATTGATGAGGAAATATCAACTTGGTGCACTCAAGGACATTTACATTATGATGACCATGGGGTTTATGAACATTTGTAACTTTTTATAATTTCCATATTGCATTTCTCATAGGTATGGACAACTTTTTTGCCACTAACTGAATTCTCCAGATACTCACCTGAATTTTCATAAAAAGCCACAAAACGTAGTCCTGAAAATATTGAATCATCATTTTACAAAGCAGTTTTCTGAATGGGGATTAGTTGGTGATTGTTTGTAACAAATATGCTAATGCTTTAGAAATGTCAGTATTTTTGTAATTATTTCTACCTCCAAATATATATATATTGTCTTTCACTGGATAATGTGTGTAGATTTTTACATGTGCCTTATTTGACAATGTTTATGTCTAGTTTTTGCCTGTCTCATTTGAAGTTCTTTTTTATTATGTTAGTTTAAAGAATACAGCTGTATAGGTTATATAGCTTTCATTTTATTGCTATTTGAAGCAGATGTTCACCAATGTCAACAAGAACTCAACCTGAATTTAAAGGTGGCATTCCATATACTAATATCCCCCAGGTCCTCTCAGTACTTCTGTTAAAACAAATTTGTTTGGCTAGGCACTAAGTTGTTTTCCAGTGAATAGTAACTAAAGAAGCCCTAATCTTGCTCCATGGATTAATTCCTTCTGTTCATCTCCCAACTGCACTAATCGTGCTTATTAACTCCGCTTATTCTTGTGCATGTTTTCATTGATTTCCCTTCCTGGCTTTTGCTTCTCTTGAAACTGTTGCCCAGTCACTTCTGCTCCAGTTCTCTTCCTCTTTATAGTTTCTTCCTGCCATATCTCCACATATCAGCAAAATGTTGGTGACATTTTTCTTGCCTGGCAGAACAGATTAACCTTAAAGCTATTTTACTTTAAAGAAGACTGGATGTGACTATTTAAGGCAGCATTAGGTACTGCATGGAAATAGGTTATTAACTTTAAACTCTTATCAAAATATAATTTATCAGTTTCCAGAATTTCCAGCACAGGACCGTCTGAAGAGAGCCATTGTTCAATTTCAATTCAGTGTGGGTGACAAAGTGAAATTTAGAAGAAGTTGTCTATTTGATATTTAACTCTTTATTAAATCTTTCTTTAAATTTTTGCCTGTCAGTCTATATTGCTGTTTTTATTATACATCAGTTTCTTTGTATAACTTGTGAGTTTCATGTGTTTTGTTTTTATTATGTAAATATCATTATAAATAAACTTATTTATAAATCAAATATTTGTTAATTATTGGAGATCATACTTTTCAATATATCCTAACTTGCTAAAATACTAGGTGTAAACCTTTTGGATTTAGTTGACTAAAACTCTTATAGTCATTCTTTATATATTACGGACTCTGAAAACTTGTGATTTAGTAGACTTACTCAGTCTTGAAGGTGTATTGAATATACTGAATATATTTTAGCATTATAGGGCTAAAAGGAATCTACAAATGTTAATACTACCTCCTCCTGCATCACAGTACCCAAATCACTTAGTCCAGTTGTTGAGAATATTACATTTAAAGTCTTATAATGCATTTCTCATAATTTTTCTGTATTAATGTGTCTTCAGCAATTGACTGTTTTATTGTAGTAGTAGTGGTAGTAGTTGTTGTTATTGTTGTTATATCCATATTTTTATCCCTAATGAAATGTAGTTGGGTTCTCCCTGTAATGTTTTATTATGTTTTGGGCTTAATAAAAATATTTGTGATCCTAATTTGTATTTTCACACCCTTTTTCATAGTTTCTAACCCTTTCACTTTACCTTTAAAAATGTATATAATATTGAGCACAAGTTAAATCATCTTATGTTCTTAATATTATCTCGTCTGCCAATAAACTGAGATTTATTACTTAGGATGTATTCTCAATTGTCCCTTTATTGGGGTCTCATCAGTTAACATCATAGTGCATCATCTGAGCAAATGATATCAGAGTAGTATCTTTTTTTTTGGTACAGGAGATTGACCCCAGGGGCACTCGACCACTGAGCTACATCCCTATTTTGCATTTTATTTAGAGACAGGGTCTCACTGAGTTGCTTAGTGTCTCAGCCTCCCCAGCCACTGGTATTATAGGCGTGCATCATCATCCCCGGTCAGAGAAGTATCTTGACCAAATGAAGCAACCATTTTTTAAATACAAGTCACACAAAATGTGCCTCAAGTGTTTTCATGATTATTTGGGCCCCCATAGACTTACAACTTGATGGCAATAGATGCATATATTGATATATTACTGTTTCTACTAGTTAGTATTATTTAACAGTGAAGAGGGATATGAGATTTGGTTTTCATGTGGGCGACCCCTAAGTAGCCCATAAATAATGGAATTGATTTTTTTTAACTTTTTATTCTTTTTAATTATACATGATAGTAGAATGTGTTTTGGCAGATCATACATATGGAGTATAATTTCTCATTTTTATGGTTGTATATGATGTGGAATTATGTCTTGCATTCATATATGGACAAAGGAAAGTTATTCCAATTCATTCTACTGTGTTTCCCATTCCCATCTCCTCTCCCTACCCATAAACAGCCCCCCCCCATCCAATCTGGTGAACCTTTATTCCCCCTACCCATCTATTGTGAGTCAGCATCCACATATCAGAGAGAACATTCAATCTTTGGCTTTGGGGGATTGGCTTATTTCACTTAGTAGAAGAGTCTCCAGTTCCATTCATTTACTGCCTAATGCCATAATTTCATTTTTTATGGCTGAGTAATATTCCATTGTATATATGTACCACATTTTCTTTATCCATTCATCTGTTGAAGGACACCTGGGTTGGTTCCATAGCTTAGCTATTGTGAATTGAGCTGCTATGAACATTGATGTGGCTGCGTTACTATATTATACTTATTATACTTCTTTGGGTATATGCCGAGGAGGGGGATAACTGGGTCAAATGGTGGATTCATGAAATTGATTTATTGTAACACTTCCCCAAGTGTATGAGTTTTTTTTTTTTCTGATATAATATGCAATTCAACTTTTGCTCTGATTCACACCCACATCCTCCATCTTTCTCTGTAAAAAATACTTGAGTGCGGGATGGCATAATGGACTATTATGACTTTAAGTGCACAAAGATGATTTAAAGCTATGGTTGCATTTTTTTAAAMTTTATTTTTAAAGTTGTAAATGGACCCAATATATTTATTTATTTTTGTATGTGGTACTGAGGATCAAACCTAGTGCCTTACCTATGTGAGGTCAGCACTCAACCACTGAGCTACAACCCCAGCCCTGTGATTGCATTTTTTACTTTGTGAATCACTTAAACACATAAGACCGTTTTGAGTTTTCGTAATTTTGCATGAGCATTGTATTTGTCACTTTTACTAAATTCTATTTCCACTAAAGCTAGTGAAAATATAACAATGTGGAGGAAAGTGGTGGCACATAAGAAAGTTACTTTATCCAAAATTTTTGTTGTTATTAAAAGTATTTTTCCTTTAGACTGCTTAAAGGGATATTTTATACAATATCAGACTTTGAAATGATATTCTTTTGTGTCTTTATTTACCTGTTATCAGCCACTAATGAAAAAATTGGATCCCAAAGTATTTGCCAAATACTCTTCATTTTTGTGTGCAATACTTAATGTTTTCAAGTTTCATAATACATTTTTTGTAAGAAAGAAGCTCCTTAAATAACATCATTCCTAGCTGAGCTCTTCTATCTTCTGTACACCTTCCTCATTTTCTTGTCTATTTCTTTTTCATCTGCATTTAAAAAGTATTAGGCCATCAATATCATTAGTCTATTTGTAATGTGAGATCTAAACAAACAATCTAAAATTTGTAATATTAACATGAATTAAAGTTTAAGGTTGGAACAGTATAATTGAAAATGAATTCCTAGGAGATAATCTAAAGGTATTCTTATTTGAAWCATCCTATTTAAATAACTTGTTTATATAGGCAGTTCTTGCATTCCATGGTAGAGTCGAATTTTAAAAGTGACTACAAGTAGAAATAGTACAAAACAACCGTAATAATGATTTGGAAAAATTATAATTATCCATGACCTTTAAAATTTTTTGTCATATTAAAAACATTCTTATAATGGTAATGAGTGTCTAAGTAAGTGAAAAAATAAAATCAATATTTAATATATGACATTAGAGACATTGAGAATTAAGAGTTTTATTTAAAAATTACTGAATAGGTTGAACAGTACCATCTCTTTGTGTAATTTACAGCAAGAATTTTTTATGTTTTAGCAAATTGTTATACTCCTAAGTTATCAGCCTCAAGCATTTTATTCTTTCTAGGTAAATTACTGTTCTGTATTGTTCTTTGTTTTTACAGACTACTATAATTTGGATCTGGAATCTCCATCAAAAGCTCATGTGTTGGAGGCTTGGTTGCCAGCCTGTGGCACTCTTGGGAGTGGTGCATAGTTAGGAAGTTAGGTCCTTGGGTCATGCACTTGATAGGGTTTTTAGGACCACTCCTCTCCCTCCCCATAACCCCTACTTCCTGGCTGCTATGAGGTAAGCCAACTTTGCTCTATCACATGCCCCCCTACCATAATATTTTGCAGGCTAAAAAATAGGGTTTTATCCCATTCATGGAATAAAACCATTGAAAATGTGAACCAAAATAAATCTTTTTTCACAGTGACAGAAAGCTGGCTAACAGACTTTGTTTTTAAAGCAGTTTTAGGTTCACAGAAAAATTGAGCAGAAAGAATTTCCATACATTCCCCGTTCCCATACATGCACAACYTCCTCCCCTACATTTTTTATACATTGACACACCATTGCCCAAAGTCCATAGTTTGTGTTGGTGGGCTCCCTTTTAATTATCCATTTTTGTAAGATGTCAAATGGATTTATCACTGAGAAACAAGCATGCAATACAACTATACTATGCCTTGCTGTCTGTGTGTGAATAACAGATGTACAGTTGCCAKTCATTTAATGATTGATTGATTATTATGTGCACCCATCATTAATGCAGTGATTTGTGGACTGAAGAGCTAGCTACCAAGTTTTTATATCATGCAACTACTCAGTATACTATGCTAACTGAAATCCAGACTATTATTTGAGCAACTGATATTCTTTGACTGAAGCATTCATGCATGTTGGAACCAGTGCTAAGCAAAGTCTACATGTATTGTGAAAGACTTTCTCAATTAAAAATGGTATTAAGTTTTCTAAACAAACAAACAAACAAAAAAAGATACTAATTCTTTTTCAAGAATATGACCTGAAAGATGAAAGTCATGGCAGAGGTGGGGGGGAGTTTGTGAATTATCTGGTAGGTTGATAGACCTGTCTTATCTCATGGAAAGATGGCAGTGAACATGAAAACCTCAGGATGGCACATATCAGCTAGAGTTTGGTTTGGGGCCTCCTTTGGATCCAGTCTGCAATGGCAGGAATGGCTCGTACTTTCTTCTGCAATGCCAATAGCCTGGGATGGGCGTCCAACAAGTCAGGTTTGAGGACCAAAAGTGTAGTACTGCAAATGTCCCAGTAGAAATCTGCCCAAGTTACCTAGTTAAAGGAAACAAAACTATTTTCTTTTGAACATAAAGGCACAACTTTATCAGCATTCCAAAATTAATTTCTTAACCTAAAATTTCTTTTTAATCCAAAACAACTTGTTTGTTATTATGAAAGATGAATGTAGAAACTTGAAAAATGACATAACACTGTATTCCTAACACCCAGGGGCCACTACTGTTAATACCTTAATGTGTAAGATATTTTTCCATACAGATAAATAAATTTTACTAAAGTGATCCTGCAATACATGCTATTTTATACCCKGGTCCTATTTCTACCTATCTAACAATACATCCTCATCTGCTACCTAATTCATATTTTTTCATCTGTTCCAAAAATGTCCTTTACAGGACAAAGCAGGATCCCTTCCAGAATATATACATTTCATCTGGTTATGACCTTTAACTCTCCTAATTTAGAACAATACCCCTTATTTCATGGCATCAAATTATTGAAGATTCTACACTCACCCTGCAGATGTTCTACCTTCAGGATCGGTCTGACTATCTCATTTATCTTGTTCCTTTATATTTTAAAGCATAAAGGAACAGGGTGGAAGTTATTCCTAGAGAGTCTATAATTTCAAGGGAAATATATTTTTTTTTGCTAAAATACATTACATTTTATCACTTCAGTAGAAATATAGGTAGGTATCTATTAATGGAGTGCTAAGATTAAACACTGGAATGGGTTGATAAATATCCTAGTCCTACTCAAGTGCAGCTTGGTGGTTTTTTCCTTTGTGAGTAGAGATTAATCTACATGTTACTTTGGTTCTGTATGAAAATTAAAGTTTAAATGCAGATTATTGTGTGTGTGTATATGTGATTTCTGATGTTTCATGAATTTATTTAATAAACAGCTGTCAACCAAGAGATACTATTGGCTAAAGCATTCCAAGCTCAGCCAAGAAATATTTACTGAGCATCTACTGCCCAGGTCTACTAGGTACTAGGGATTAATTGGAGAGCAAAATGTGATGCAAGCCCTTCTCTAATGCAGCTTTTGTTTTAGAAAACAAGTATGCACATTGGTACAGGTGATAAAGTGAAGGGATTCTTGCTGGGTGTGGTGGCACACGCCTATAATTCCAGCACCTCAGGAGGCTGAGGCAGGAGGATTGCAGGTTTGAAGCCAACCTCAGTAACTTATCAAGGCTGTAAGCAACCTAAAAGTCCTGGGGATATGGCTCAGTGGTTGAGAGCCCTTGGGTCTAATCCCTGGTAAAGTGACTTTTGGGTATCAGAGAAGTTCTTTAGAGGTCATTCAAACTAAGGCTTGAATGGTAAAAAGGGATCCAAATCAACCAAGCGTTCTAAGCAGAGGGAATGGGGAATGTAAAAGCTCCCAGGGGGGAATATAACTTGTGTCTGTAGAACAGACACAAATGTGTTTGGAGCCCTGTAAAGAAGGAAGAGAGTGCTCAGAGAAGGGGTCAGGAGACCGTTTACAAAGGAATTTCAATAGAAAATAAATGTTAAATCTTTAGAAATATTCAATGAATACAATAGGGAGAGGACCATTTTAGGAAAGGTCATAAGGGGAGTCAATGGGAAGAGCTATGTGACACAGCCGAAAGCTGAGAATAAAGATGTAGCAAGATTACTTACAATTCACCCCAAAAGGTGGAACAGGGCAGACACCAATCAGTGTCACCAGTACCACTAGTGCCGCAAGAAAGCGATCTGTCTTGTCTCCTAGAATGCTATCTCATTGAAAGCAGGGACATCTGCCTACCACAGCATCTGCCCCAAAGTTTAATGTTTGGGTAAGACTGCTTCTAAGTGGTGGTGTGTTCCGCTATTGGTAGGCTTAGAGTGTCGACTGTCACCTTTTTGTGAAATCAGCATTTATTAATGGTCATTACTGAAGCCCATTAGTTCTTCAAGGGTTAGTCAGTAGTAACAATTTATTTCAATCTTTTCTCTTTATTAAATGGAATATTATAGGGAAGAGAAACTTTGCCCAAATGATTTTTGTTACCTTGAGGTACAATTTGCTAGGATGGGGGGAATAACTGCTATGTTTCAAACTCCCACACTTTTTTGTTTGTTTGTTCTAACAGTTTCAGAAAAATAGTGTGGCTTCATGTCATCTTCTAAAAGTAAGCAATGAAGCTTTGTTTTTTGTTTTTTGGCTGTTGTTTGGTGTGTGTGCATGTCCATTGTTAATATTCTTATTGAAGCTTAAATTTTCCACTTTTGGTTAGTAGGAAGTCTTCAAGTTGAATCCTGGGTCTTTTCAATGCAACTCCAATTATCTTTTGTTATTTTATTTGCTTCTAGCACAACAAGGTATACCCAGCTCAGTTTTTCTGTTTCTTGTCCAAACTTGAGAACAAGACATTTCTCCAAGAAGCCCTGGTTCCGTTTGGTATTTAATAAACCAGAATCTGGATATGAGGGTGCTCAAGACTACTGGGTTTATCATGGTTGAAAAAAATGCTTTTTCTTTATCCTAAGATAACATCATGAGTTTATACTGTTATCTCTAGTTCAAATTCAGCAACAGAATATTTACTTAAACTCCCTGATTTTACATTCCACATTGAAGATCCTGGTTCTCAGTAATATCAACATAACTTTTTATTTCTGTACCCAAAATATAGTCATCATAATATCAGAAAAACAATATCAACATGCCTAGTACCACCAAAAGTTTACTGAAAATGGTGTGTGATTTTTATTTTTTGTTCTGAGAGAATGTGTCTTAATGTATAAACAAATTACTGTGTTTTACAAATGAAGGCATATCTTCACTAATAGACTACAATACATATTCTCTGTRTACTCTGTGCCTCTATTTGATACAAGTAGGTTCATTTGTTCACTTGGGTTTTAACTTTTAAGATAGCTTTCTAAAATTATTGTTATATAAGTATATAAAATATTTCATGATTCCAAAGTCAAATATATTATGAAAAGGTTAATTTTTTTTTCCTTGCAGTACTAGGGATCAAACCCAGGCCTTTGTACTTTCTAGGCAAGTGCTCTACCACTAGCCAAATGACTAGCATTTGTCTCTGTTGTACAACCTATTTCTTCCCTTTCGGTGGGGAGGGATACTAGGAATTGGATCAAGGGGTACTTAACCACTAAGCCACATCCCCAGTCCTTTTTATTTTGTAATTTGAGACAGGGTCTTGCTAAGTTGCATAGGGCTTCACTAAATTTCTGAGGCTGGCTTTGAATTTACAATCCTTCGTCAGCCTCCAAAGCCACTGGAATTAAAGGTATGTGCCCTTCCTTCAATAAGGTTTTGGTTTTTTCTGTTATTTAAATATATTTGCTTATATTGTTAAAGATGTAAAACATACTTACATAGTTACCAATAAGCCACTCTTTGTCCCCTAAATATTTGTCCAAATCTTGCAAAAAATGAGGTGCATCATACGTGAGAATCTTATTAAACATCTGCTCCTACAAGAGGGAAAAAATAAATTCATAAATTAATTTTATAAATAATAGGAAAAATAAATAATATGATTTTAAAAGGAGATAGTTTTTTCTCATCTTTTTCTCCCACATGAATTCAGAAGGGAATAGAAGTAACTATGTGTTTTATTTTGTTTGTTCACATTTATGATATCATAGTGATTCAGATCTGCCTCTATATAATTTATCAATATTCCTAAGCAATGTACAGTTGCCAGACTGATGATTTACAAACTGAAGATTGGAAAGCTTGTTATTTTTTACCTATATTTTTATTGATGTATTATAATAGTGAAATTATTATATAATCATACATGCACAGAATATAATATAATATAATTTGGTCCATATCTTTCCCTAATATTGTTCAGAGTTTAAAACAAAACAAAACAAAACAAAAACAAACAAACAAAAAAAAAACAAGAGTTAGTCCTTCTGTTTCCTGAACAGAATCTGTGAGGTGAGAGACAATAGGCCCCAAACCATGTGGCACTTCCCACAGCTCAGCTCAACTCAGCATCTGTGGGAAAGGTAATGGCCAACTTGGCTCTTCTAGAATGAAACAGGATGTAGCTGCTGGACAGCTTTCCAAAAACTGCTCCGTGCACACCTGGGAAATTCTGTTCTAAAGTTCATTGCCACAGTTTCAGGTACACCAATGCTGCATATATGCAGAGCCAAATAAAAATGTCATAGTATCTGCGTTAGTGACTTCCTTTAGCCTAAGTTCTCTTTACAAGTTTGATGAATTATCTCAGTCTCAAAAATGTAAATTAGTAAACAGTACAATCATTATTTTTTAAGATTTGTTTTTAAGGGACAGTAATCAAAATATATAAAGAAGATAAAGTATGATTATATGTCATTTTTCCCAGATGTAAACTTTTTAAAAATGTTTCCTGATAAATCCTAATTGGCCACTCTTTTTTAAAAATTTTTAGTTGTAGTTGGACACAATACCCTTATTTTATTTAATATTTTTATGTGGTGCTGAGGATTGAATCCACCGCCTTCAATGTGCTAGGAGAGCACTCTACCATTGAACTACAACTCCAGCCCTACAGCCACCTTACACACTTGTAGACTTAGAAATTTTCTGCCTCCTCTTCTAGAAAGTTGTGAAGTGGGAGGTTTCTGCAAAGTTATTGTTAGGAATTCTAACAAATGGCTTTTAGAGATATTGGAAAGCTTTGTATGTTTCTCCAAAGCATTGTTTTTAAACCCACATTATCAAAATCATTTAGTGTTGGAAGTGGACCATCAGAATTCTCTCAGTCCTGCTCATATTCATCCACACCCTGCCCTTCAGATGAGGAAACTCAAATATAGGCACGCTGAATAATCAAAGTAATACAATAAATTCGAGGATTGTCATCATGATCAGTGTTCAGAGACACATTTTGCCTTCAAAGTTTTAAAATTGGAAATGTAATTTTTACAAATACTGAAACATTTATGATTATTGTATAGTTAGTGGATTTTTTAAAAGTACATATGGTAACAAGAATATTTTCACTGTCCATCTTAACAGCATCAATATTATTTTTGAAAATTTTACCTGACCAGCAGGTGGCAGCAGTTGAACCCACTATAGAGAGAGGAGGAGGAAGTACAGAACTGCACTTTTCAATGTGTGTGTCAGGTCCAGTTTGTTAACTGGATAGCCTGTGGCTACTGGCAATGGTTCTGCATCATGCTCTCCCTTTATAGAATTTACTCATGGATTTAGATTCCTGATGGACTGCCCATCAGTGGGATCTTTGGCACATGGAACCAAAAACTTTAGACATTTTCCTAAATTGACAAGTATTTATCTCTTTGTCTCTGCATTTATAAAGCTATGTAAAATATAGATTCCAGGTCTGACAAATATAAGGAAATACCCTGTTAATTATAATAGCTGATATTTATTGAATACTTTCTATCTGGCCATACATACATATGCTACCATTAATATATTACCAATATACTTAAAGAGAGAATCTATTATATCCCCCCTTTACAGACAAAAGTTTGATCTGTTAATAGGTAGTTAAGTGTCAGCTTATAAGAAGAAAATTAGGATTCAAGTCTGGCAGTCTGACTCCAGAGAACAAATGTATCTGTCTAAAAGTCCAAAGAGGCTTTATTTCTCTCATCAAAGCCGAGTTTTTATTCAAGACTTTGTTATGGGTATGTGGGGGTGTGTGTATGTGTGTCCCCTATAAGCCTCATGTGTATATCAAGGAGTCAGTAACTGTAAATACTTTGATGTCCAAATATCTCTATTGAAATCAGAAAGTCCCATTTCAATAAATGGTATTTAGAATAACTGTGCTTAAGTAAACTAATAAGGCTGCCATTTGTGGTTCTGGGCTGTGGCTTTTGGAGGTAGACCTTAGCTTTGGCAAGTGTCTGATAAGTGTAGTGCTCTGATGGCTCTTCAAAGAGGGTTTAATGCCTACGAAATATATATAAGGCACTGCGATGCGGTGGGCAGGGTGTATCACCTGAGCAAGACAGACATGACTCCAGCCATCCTGACACCTACTGGAGGTGACAAACAAGTAAATACATTTTAAAATAGATATTCTGATGAACATCCTAAAGGAAGCTATGAAAGGGCTGTCAATAAAGGATAATGAAACTCCAAAGATGATGGATTCGATATAAATATTCAACATATATGATTTTGTTTTTATCCCTAATACACAGTGAGGTATAGTTTTTAAAAGATGGAAGCTACATGGAGGTGAAAAAAGAGAACACAAGAGTAAATAAAATGGGAATTGTAAAGATGAATAAATGTCATCTGCAGAGGGAAAGCAGAGAACCAACCTACACACCATACACAGCCCTCAGGTGGCTCAGGAATGGGTAGATGTGTCTAGAGTTGGGGTTAAGGAGGTTGGGGAGGAGAGATGAAGCATGGTGGAAAACCGTCAAAGAAATTTTAGCATGAGATTGGGCCGTCATTTCATGCTGCTAGACAAGGGCCCATTTCCGTCCTGTGCAGAAGACTGGAGGTGGTAAAATAAATGGTTTCTGGGACCAAGGATGTCACACATATAAAAAAGATAAGATTTAATGAATGTATGCACACTGAATGATAAACTGCGGATGCTTCCAGCCCTCCTTACTACTTGTCTCTGGAACAGGGCACCAGACCTTCATCTTTGGGCAGAAGACTAAAATTTTCTTGGCTCTGTGATACTCAAAATCAACAACCCCATCCACATGCTTAGAGCTTTGAGTAAACTGTTAAAACCCCCTACTCTTTATCATGGAGTATAGAAGATGGTCTGACTAAAACAGAGTGGGATAAAAAGCAACTTTGCACAAATATACAATGGGGAGGGAGATAACGTTATGGCCATTAAATAGATTTTTTTCAAAGAAAAAATACTATAATGAAAGATATTATCAAATTTAAAAATACAATGTCAGAAATTTAGAACCCAAGAGAAGATTGATGGATAAAGTTGAAGAATTCTTCAAAAGTAAGGCAAAAAAGCAAAAGATGGGAGATAGAGAAAAGATCCACCTTCTGAATAACAGGAATTCTAGACAATGGGACATAATAAATAATCAATGAAAGAATTAAAGGAAATTTCCAGGGCACAAGTCCTAGATTAAACTGGCCCAACGAGGAAACAGCATAATGTATTAAAAACAGTATGATGCCAAAGACTCATCATTGTGTAATTTTAGGAATCTAAGGGTAAGTGTTCTACAATCTTTTAGAGTGGTGAAAAAAAAAAAACAGGTCACATAAAAAAGGTCAGTAACTACATTAGATTCAGACTTCATAACAGTTAAAAGTCCATAGATAATGTTTTCCAAATACTAGTGAAAAAATTAATTTCAACATAGAATTCCATGTCCAACTAAACAATGCAACACATATAAGGATTAAATTAAGACACTTGCAGACAAAGAAGGTCCCCAATTTTTATTTCCTATGATCAGTAAGCTGTTGGATGATTGTTTCACAAAAAGGAGGCCAGAAAGCAGGAGAAAAGGAGGATGAACTCAGAAAAGAACATTCAGGATGATATTTAAGATCAGGACACAACCCTGCCCAAGTGTCTAGGCAACCAAACTCTATTGATGCAGTGTGACTCACAAGACAGACATGTCCACACCTCCTGTCATCAAACCCCAATTTAGCTTTTGGAATACTAGAGGATGTGCCCCAAATAAACAATGAAGTACACAAAGAAAGAGGGCAACATTCAGCAAACAGGACTCAAACTTCAGTGAATGKTATCAGTGGGATGGCAGGGAAGGGAAGCCCAGTATGATAGTTGTGCAGATAACCTAGAGAGGTCCACAAAGGAGAGAGCAGGTCTTCAGGTCAGATAGTTCCAAGAACATGTTAGAAATAGCAGGATATCTGATATCATTGACTTTGTGGAAAATCCAGTTAAAAGACTGTGGATAATGAGGGAAGATTCGGAAATGACAATAAAAATAAGAATTAAGCAAAACACAAAAGGCAAATATTAACTTTGAAGAGGAAAAGTGAGAAATGAAATATTATTAAAGTATACTACAATGCACAGTTCTGGGTATTATTTGCATAAGCATACTAATGTAATTGTGAAACATTAATTTAAGCAAAATTTTATGTCACGCTATTGGGAGCTCAGAGAAAGGGAAACAGGATGACTATGTTAGATAAATTCTAACTACTATCAGAAGAAGTCCATAGAAATTATCTAAAATTGGTAAGTCAGCATCATATTTATATATTCTATAGAAATATGGAAATGTGAAATCCTAAAGAAAAAGCTAAAAAGATTAAAAAGAGGGTAGAATATGGACAGGAGTTGATGTAAAGGGTAAGACAGAGAATTGCTATACTCTGCTTTAAAACTTTTAATATAATTTCATGTTTTAAAACTAGACCTACATATGACTTAGATTAATCCCAGCAGCTTGGGAGGCAGGAGGATTGAGAGGTCAAAGCCAACCTTAGCAAGGCCCTAAGCAACTCAATGAGACCCTGTATCTGGATTATACACACACACACACATACACACACACACACACCAAGAGCTGGGGATGTGGCTCAGTGGTTAATCACCGCTGGGTTCCATCCCGGGTACTAAAAAAAAGGAATAAAAAAAACCAACAACTTTAAAGCACCTAAGAAAATTTCTAGAAAGTGGTACGTGATTACTAGTAATAGTGAACTGATCACATTACTTTTACATCTTGGTTTTTCTCTGCCCAAGGAAAAGTTGCCATGAAATCATCCAATGTATCTGCAATAGCATCGACTTGACATTGTTCCATCTCTGTTTTTCCAGCCAAATCTATGGAATAGAGAAAGATCATGTTATACCTGAGAATATGTTCAATTTAACTTACTATATTAAATAGGCAATACACTCATGTGGTTGAAAATTCAAAGCAATATAAATAGTATCCAGTGAAGGCCAGCTTCCATTTGCTCATTTTGCTCCTTCACCTACTTTACTTATTGGTAACCACTTGTAATCGTTTCTTATTATTCTTCTGTTGTATTTTTTTTGGTGAGGTACTGAGGATTGAACCCAGGGGCGCTTTACCACTGAGCCACATTCCCAGCCCTTTTTGTGTTTTATTTTGAGACAGGGTCTTGCTAAGTTGATCAGAGGAAGAGGGTTGGGGGTGGAAAGTGGTGATTCTACAGATTGATTAGAAAGAAAGGATCTTTAAAAGAATCCAAAATTTTTTTTTAACTCAAAAAGTATAAGAGTCGGAGAGGAGGGGGAAAAGAAAATGGAACATAGGATAGAAAGGGGAGATCAAACAAAAATAAGAAGTAAAYATTTCTATTGTTTATCATCCATGCCACAGGTATAGGCACCAACAAAACAATCCAGAAGTCACATTCCCACTTAAAGCCACCTCAGATAACCCTCGGTGTAGGCAAGAAGACTTCCTTTCTATTTTTTTAAAGCACTATTAGAATGAAGGACATCATGAGTACATGATTTTAATAGTCCAAGAAATTTTAACCTTCATGTGCCATATGTATTTTAATTTCTTTGGTAATTTACAAATACTTAATGCTAGCAAAAGTTCGGGTTAAAATATACCTGTCCAAATTTTCAGCTAAATTCAAAAAAGGACTTGGTCACAGAGCAAGGTGTTAAGGGGTGGGGGCAATATAAAATTGTCTAGTTGTCTAGGAACTCATGGAAAGTTAAACTAATATAGATGATACATTGATATTGCTCTAGCTTTTAATCCCATTCTATTTATATTATAGTGTTAAAAATAATTATCTAATGGCTATTGAATGAATATCATGTTTTTTTCAGTTAGCAAAAGTCTTGAATACAATAAACATGTTACCTGTGTTTCTGGCAAAGTATCTTGCTATTGCCAGGCTCTGGTGAAGGGTAAGACCATCCACTTCCAAAACAGGGATTTTACCAAATGGAAGAGCTAAAAACAAGATGAGCAAATAATTGACTTTATAATAGAAGCAAGAGTTATGATAGAATTATGATACTTCTGTTTTTGTTGATAACTGTGGGAACAAACTGTGATTTTTAAAGTCATAGACTTCTTAAATCTGTATTCTTAAAAGGAACATTTGACATCTAATGGAATCTCTACATTTTGTAAGTTTGAAAAAAGCAGTTAGAAAACTGATTGTAAAGTTCATTACAAAACTGGCTCTAAACCCCAGGTTTTTAGGGTTGCTAATCCTACACCCAACATGGTCTCATAGAGTTACTACTTTTTTTTTTCTTTAAAGGTAAGCTTCGTTAATTTTGTGGCCTCAAAAATAGATCATGTTAATTATTATTTAAAACACAGTGTGAGTAATTTAGCTAATTTACAAATGAGTTATGTTTAAGAAGTTAGCCAAAACCTTATTTTGAGGAGGAATTATTTGAACTGCAAACATTTTGTACAAATATAGGACAGACTTATAACAGATGCACTATTAATACTTTGTAAAACCTATTTTGGAGGGTGGGGAAATGGGGATTGAACCTAGAGGTGCTTGGCCATTGAGCCACATTCCCAGTCCTTTTTATTTTTGTATTCTGAGACAGAATAAGTTGCTTAGGACCTTGCTAAGTTGCTGAGGCTGTCCTAGAACTTGTGATCCTTCTGCCTCAGCCTCTTGAGTTGGGAGGTGCGAGCTGGGATTACAGGCATGTGCACACAGCCGTATTTTGTTTTGATATCTAAATATATTTTGTCACAAAATGATATACATTTATTGTAGAAAAATTATAAATTGAAAAAATAATTCTACCAGTTATGACCATTTTAATGTTTCAATTGGTTTTCCACATATATTAAATATCATAATGTATTATATTTTGTTAACTTCTTTGTTCATTTGACAGTATTTTTTTAAAAAATCTTTCTAAATTTATGAAATACCTCATTTTAATAATCATGTACTACTTTACTATGTGTATAACTACAATTTTACCAACCAGTGCCTTAGGCTTGGACATATAAATATTTTGGAAACAGAGAAAAAAATAGTGTCACTTGTAATCCATGACCCTCACACAAGTACTGGAATCAGTGTTGCATCGTACTTTCAACTCTTTCATCTACATATTAAGTACAGAATGAAGGACAGTTCACATCAGGAATAAAAATACCTTTGATTACTTACCAAATGTGCCAAGTACTATTCTAGGTGCCTGAGATACTACTGTGAGCAAAACAAAGTCCCAAATAAAGTTGACATGTGTTGAGATACCTTATTTGAAGCACAGTACATAAATAAGAGGGAGTTAACATGCCTAACTTGGGGAGTTTCCTTGGTACTCCCAGGGCATACTRAGTACTGAACATGTCCATCAGATTTTCTGGTACTTACAACTCTATGAAGCAAGTACTAGCTATCTATCTGCTTTTAAAAATGCAAAAATGTTAACAAGGTTTATGTAAATTGCCCAGCTCACACCTGATAGAAGTGGGATTCAAACTGAGGTCAGCTGGAACCCTTTCTCAGCTGTTTTGATAATCCTAAGAGCCATATTTTGTGTGAGAAAAATATTTGAGCAAAAATCAGAGCAAGCTCAGAACATAGTATCCAAATTAGAGAAGGGTCCAAAGATTGCCTTTTATGAGGATTGGCTGAAGAACCTTGACTCGCTTGGCCTGGAGGAGCAAAACTAAATAAAATGTAATGTCCATCTTCAAAAATGGCAAAGCTATCAAATGGAAGAAAACTTTGACTTACTCTGACTAGCTCTAAAATGCAGAACTAGAAACAAAAAGTAATTTGAAAAAGATATTTTAACTCATGATGAAAAGTAAGTTTGTTGACATCAGACTCTTGACAACCGGAAGCATTTGAGCCAACCCTGGAATAATTGTCAACAGATGAAACATTGTCTGAATTTAACAAGCAGAAATTTAAGACAAATGCAAAGTCCCTTGATGGTTCCAGAATAATTCCAAGATTGTTGGAGGTGTCACTTAGCAGGAACACCTGTCAAAAAGCTTTAAGGAATTTAGTGACACTGAACATGATCCCTGGTGGGATATGGATGCCAAAATAACTACTGTGATCTTGGTAAAATGTCTTAGAATTTAAGTATAGACTTGTAATAGGGGCTGTGGGGGTTAGGGTTAACCTTGGTTGCCAATTTGATTGCATTGAGAGATCCAGAAAATTGGTAAAGCACACTTCTGGGTGTGTCTGTGAGGGTTTTTCCAGAGACAATTGGCACATGTGCCAGTCAACCCATGGGTAAGATCCACCACAGGACTGGTGGTCCAGATGAAACAAAAGTGAAAGAAACAGGGAAGCACATATGTGCAGGGCAAGCTCATCTCTTTAGAGTTTGCTTTTTTTTTTTTTTGCTGCTACTGTTGTCCAAGGATGTCAGACTCCAGATTTTCTAGCCTTTCCTTGTGGACTTGTACCATTGACTCTCCAGGGGACCTCCAGACCTTCATCCTCAGATTGGGGCTGCATCGTTGGTCCTCTTGTTCTGAGGTTCCAGCTTCTTGGACTTAACAGCATCTGGTTTCTCCTGCTCTGTCTCCTGCTCTCCCACCTATGGTCGGCCATCGTGAGTCCTGCTTCCATTGCATAAGCCAGTCTAAAAAGTCTCCTCTTATAGTCATATCCATGTTCTGTGGGGTTTGTTACTCTCAAGAGCTCCACTTAATACTGGTGAGGGTCCCATTCCACCTGTGCAAGGTTGTGTCCCCACCAGCACCACATATTGCAAGACAGATGTGAGCACAGCTTGTTTAGAGGCTATCTACTTGGGTCAGGATATAAATAGAACATTCGAGAAACAGAAGATTGAGCTGTCTGTAGAATCTGCGTGTGATTTCAGGCCTCAGATAGTCAGTGGCAAACACTGTCTAAATCAAGAAGTAGAGTCAGAAGTGGGGAGCTTGGACTGAAATTCACAGTGATGACCAGAGAAAGAAGGAAGTCTGAAAGTTATGTGGATTCATGAGCTAACTTGGCACTCGATTCTGAATTCTGCCAGAGATCTTTATCTTCACTCAGAGCGTTGTGACTGAACTGACCACTCACCAGAGGCTTTTTCCCTATGATGACTTTTTTCTTCCCTTTTTATTAGTGTATTATAAGTGTACATAGCAGTGAGATTTGTTGTTACATGTTCATACATGCACAGTCCCTATGATACCTTACAGAAATTTAAGTTTCTTCAGGTGCTTCCATGTAAAATGAAGAATAATTTGTTCTCCATGGATTAAAAGGATAAGTTCAATTAAAATGATAAGTATGAAAGCCATAGGAGACAGATTTTGATTTTTTTTTTCCAGTGCTGGGGATTGAATCCAGGGCCTTGCACATGGTAGGAAAGTATTCTACCACAAGCTATATCCCAGCCACAGAATTAAATTTTATGTAAAGGATTCTTTTAAAAATTTGTCTCCCTTCCATTTTCTGTATCCTATTCCCAGAATTCCAGTTGGAAGTTGGACTTCCTGAACTGATTGATCCTTTATTTCACTTATCTTTTGTCTTTATTTTTCCATTGCCTAACTCTTTGTTATAGTTTCTGGAGTATTTCCTTATTTTTGTCATTTTAGTAATTTATTTATATTTTGTTTTTAATTTTTAAAAACATTTTGCCTGTGAACATCCCTTTTTATAACATCCTATCCTTGGTTTATGTATAGAATATTTTCTTTTATCTCTCTGAGGATTTCATGTTTTTGAAGGTTTTTTGGTTTGGTTTGGTGTTTTTTTGTTTTTCTTACTAAACCAATTTGGTTTCATCAGAGTTGGCTCCCCCCGCACCCCTCCTTTGTTTAGATCTGCTTCATACTGGAGACCTTCTCAAATTTTCATTGATTTTTGTTTTGCCATTTTTGTTTTAAGGGGGCAAAGAAAGAAATGCTAACTGGATATTCAGTGTGGGGGGAAGGGGTTTGCCAACAGAGCAGTACCATTTCACTGAAAGACCCCCATCTGTTCTGTATCGATTAGACTTGTTTTCTTGGGCTAGTCAGTTTCCCCAAGAGAGAATTTCTTCAGTTTTCTGCCTAAGAGATATTAGCCTGCTTATAGCATTTCAATTTTAGATCAGGGGGAAGGGGATTGGGGCTTCACCACTTAATTTGTAGACATCCATTGAATCCAGTCTTCACTGTAGGAGTGTGTCCTCAGACATGCCTGTCATTCAGAATCCTCTGGTCAGTCCTCTCCATGCTCCTCCAGGGAGGGAAGGGGAGCTGGTGACCAAACTGCTACCTCACATTCTTCCGGTCAGTCCTTCCAGCTCAGGTGTTAGGGTTGTCTGTTGCTACTAATTCCGGAGGCTTTTTCAGGATCTCTGGAGTGATTCTGCTTGCACTGCCCTCCTCCAGGTAATGTTTGAGCTTTATGGTCCCACTCAGTCACTGTGCATTCTTTGACTTGCATTCTAGCTTCTAGAAGGTTGTGCTATTGTATTTAAGCTGGATTTCTTTGTCTGTATGGGATTTTGGCTTTAATAAAAAGTACTTGAATATATGAAGGGAGAAAATGTAGACAGATACATACCATCTTCCAGGTTTAACTAGGAAGAACTTTTTAGTAGAAACACTCAAGGATGGAATGTGTTGACTGGAGATTTAGTTCTAGGACTAGCAGAAGGAATATCCTGAAGGGTTTCAAATACCTGAGAACACAGCTAAACTGGATGGGAGATGAAACCAAATAATAAAAATAATAAAAACTGCCTTTGTAATAAAAACTGTTTTTTTAGGATCTATTCTTTCCTTTCTTCTCAAAGTAATAAAAACCTAAAGTTTAGGCTGGGCAAGTAGTTATCATGATAAGGTCAACATATCCCAGCTTCCCTTGTGGTAATATGAGATGATGTGACTAAGTTCCTGCCAAAGCAATGTGAATCACTTCTGATAGGCAAGCTGGGCAAACTGGGGCTTGCCTATAATCCCAGTGACTTGGGAGGCTGAGGCAGGAGGATCTTGAGTTCAAAATCAGCCTTAGCAATTTAGTGAGGCCCTAAACAACTTAGCAAGACCCTGTCTCTAAATAAAGTATAAAAAAGGGCAGGGGATGTGGCTCAGTGGTTAATTACCCCGGGATCTATCCCCCGTACCAGAAAAAAAAAAAAAAAAAGAGTGACTGTTCTTGCTGCCAAAAGAAAGAATGGTGCCCCTCTCTCTTTGACATTTCCCATGAGCTAGAGCGTGAAGGGAGAGTGACCTTGTGCAAATAAGACAACAAAAGATGGCAGATCAACAAGACAGAAGGAGCCTAATCTTTGACAACTTCATGGAGCAACATTTTTGCACTAACTTTTGGGATGTTTTGTTGTTGTTGTTTTTGATACCAGGGATGGAATTGACACATCTCTAGCCTTTTTTTATATTTTATTTTGAGACAGGGCCTCACTGAGTTACTGAGGCTGGGTTTGAACTCTTGATCCTCCTGCTTCAGCCTCCCAAGCCACTGGAATTACGGTGTGCACCACTGTACATGGCCCAACCTGGGTTTTTATGATTAAGAAATTTCTATCCTTTTAAATTTTATGAAATTAAATTTTATAAAATTAAGACAATTTTATGTTGGGGCTGTTTTGTTAAGGCCCTTAAAACTATTCTTAATTGTGAATTTTAATATCTCTTTCAACTCTAAGAATCTCTGAAAATATTAAGAAAATGCAGAAACTCCATTTTGAATTAGAACGAAAAGCCAAGGTATAAAAAAGGAAAGCCATGAGAAAAGCTAAAATTAAAAAAGCTACATTTAAAAACTAAAAGGCAGGGCTGGGGATGTGGCTCAAGTGGTAGTGCGCTCACCTAGCATGCATGAGGCACTGGCTTCGATTCTCAGCACCACATAAAAATAAAATGAAGATTTTGTGTCCACCTAAAACTAAAACATAACTATTTAAAAAAAACAAAAAGGCAAATTTTGTTATAAGTACCATCCCTCTCCCTCGCTGTCCATCTTGACCTAGTTAATTAGTGGATAAAATGAATGTTCCCTATTTTATGTCCACCATTTTAAAAACCCATGAATAAAATTTGATATCAGAAGAAACCTTGGAACATTTGGATACCAACAGTAAAGTTTCAGGAGAACAGGAAATAAGACACTGTACCCCTGCAGAGAAGTGATTTTTTTAAAAAAGAATTCATGCTTTCAAAAGGCAGCTGCTGGGCTGGGGATATAGCTCAGTTGGTAGAGTGCTTGCTTCTCATATAGAAGGACCTGGTTTCAATCCCCAGCATTACCACACAAAAAAAAAAAAAAAAAAAAAAATCAAATAAGGCAGGTGTCAATTTATTGTTGATATATCATAGTATTGATGTTGTTGGCATTTTCTAGTGCAAATAATTTGTGCCATGCTATTAAATTGATCTGGATTTTAAAGCCAACTCTCCTTGCCATGGTTGTGAAACTGGAAAAACTCTGTGCACTTCAGTTATCCCAACTGTAACATAGAAACAATAATGTGGCCCATGTCATTCAGCTCTTCTGACAAAGCTTGATCCTGGTTTATCTTTATATTATCTGTGAGGTTTGTATTTTCACCTGTAATAGAAAATTTGCTGAGTCACAGAGCATTTCCTTAGTTTACCTGAACTTGCTGGTTCTCAATGTAAAGCTATGTGAGATTGGAAAATTTGGGGTACTGGAAATTGAACCTAGGGGTGCTTTAGCATGGAGCTACATCCCCAGCCCTTTTTTATTTTGAGACAAGGTCTTGATAAATTGCTTAGGACCTTGCTAAATTGATAAGGCTGGTCTCAAACTTGTAATCTTCCTGCCCCAGCCTCCAGTAGCTGGGATTACATGTATGCGCTATCTGGCTCCTTGATTTTTTCATTCCCTGAGGAAAGCTGAAGATTCTGAAAGTATATTTCCCTACTTATTCGTGAATTCTTATTTGGGCTACTTACTTGGTTTTATTTTAGGCCAGTCAGCATGTTCTATTCTGTGATCTTCATACTTTATATCCAAATAAGCAAATATGTAACGGATAATTTCTGCTCTCCCCCTCATATTAAAATAAATCAGTTTGTAGTTTGGCATGGTGAGATTCTGGAAAGAGAAAAAAGAAGGGAGTATCATAACAGCACTCTAGAGATTCTCAATATTTTTCTTTGATGACTTTTTTGAAAACTTTATAGCATCTTTTGAGATAACCAGAGATATTAGAGAATATTTCAAAGTAAAATTATAAATCACTAGCTAATAACATACAAAGAAAGTTGAGAGAATATCATCTCTCTCCTCCACCCCCCCCTCACTCTTTCTCAGTGAATATTCCAGTGAAATACCAAATCCAAATTTTATTCATAAAAATATTCGGATTAAGATGATATCTCATAGTCTCACTAGTAGTGCATAAGTTGTAATTAATCTTCATCCACAGCAATATTTATGTCCAAAGACTGGGAAATTTAAATCTTTTTCTGATGTTTTCATATGCTCTATTTCTCTTCATTAATTGGGTTATTGAGAATTTAAGAACCTATTCATTATCTCTACCCAAAATATTCCTTTCTGTAAATCAGTTACTGTTTGGCTTATGTTTTTTTTAATGTTACACAATAATTTTTCAGTATTCCACTTACATCAGAATATCTTTAGCTCTTTTGATAAGTTATTGAATCATTATAAGACATTTTTCCAAAATTCTATTCAAATGGAGTATTTGAGCCTTATCAATTATTTTGAATAAAGTTTTGTTAAGCTAAAAAAAAGATCATAAATTCTAAAAGTATGCATAATGGTATTCTCTGAGAAAGCAGAATTTTGCAATGGTCAATAACAAACTCTTTAGAAGTAATTTGGTATTTGTTCCTATTTTTTGGTTTTGTTTTGAAGTGATGGTCATAAAGTATCTAATCTACAATATGATAAAAAAAAGATGGTTATCTCAGCAAATGGAGTAGACACTTTCCTTTTAAAGATGTTTTTGTCCCTTTAGCATTTTGTTTGGTTGGCTACCGTGGTAACAGCTGGGAGGTTGTGAGGACAGTTCAATGAGGGCTGAAAGGACAATGTACACACAAAAGGAATGTGGACGTGCCCCCCCCCCCCCCCCCCCCCCCCCCCACCCCCTTCCTTAACTGTGGTTTTCCCTCTTGGCCTCAAAGGCTTGCCCTGTGTTTTGTTCACTGATGGTTTTGTGGGTCACATGTACCATACAAACTCACTGCATCTTTTTTTTTTTTTTTTGGTACTGGGGATTGAACTCGGGGGCACTCGACCACTGAGCCATACCCCCAGCCCTATTTTATATTTTGTTTAGAGACAGGTTCTGAGTTGCTTAGCGCCTTGCTGTTGCTGAGACTGGCTTTGAACTTGGGATCCTCCTGCCTCAGCCTTCCAAGCCACTGGGATTACAGGCATGCACCACTGCGCCTGGCTCAAACTCACCCCATCTTGGGGTGGAACAATAGTGAGCAGATTCCTTCATTACTCTGTATAGGAAGAAAGTAAACTGAAGTTTCAGAAAGCTTTGCTAATACCAGCTATATCAATTAAATGTACATCATGATTTTCTGAGTATTCTGTGATTTATAGATTTCATTTCCAATGTTTATTAAACAGTTAATTACTTTAAGCACTTATAATAGAAACTGCCCAGTTTTGTAATGATCAGGCAACAAAGAAACTTTTTCATTTAAAATTAAATTTTTCACTTAATTGATCCCTGAATTTAAAAGTCCACTTTCATACTGATATAGATTTGGAGATTAATGAGGGTAATGCATATAAAATACTTAGCAAGTAATAAACCCTTAATAGTCATTAGCATTGGTAATAATAACTCTTGGACTATAGTCAAAGTTAAATACTGTGAATACAACCCAATACTATAATAATTATAATAATTAAGTGAGTGACAACATATCATGACAATTATTCATTTAAAATGGTGAGTTAAAACACTTTAATCTTGCCAGGTGTGGTGGCACATGCCTATAATCCCAGCAGTTTGGGAGGCTGAGACAGGAGGATCCCAAGTTCAAAGCCAGTCTCAGCAAAAGTGAGGCTCTAAGTAACTCAGTGAGATCCTGTCTCTAAATAAAATACAAAATAGGGCTGGGGATGTGGCTCAGTGGTCGAGTGTCCTTTATTGCAATCCCCCATTCCCAAACTACAACAACAAAGAAAACCACATTATTATCTACTAAAAATGTCTTCCAAAGAATATTCATGGGAATATTAGATCAAAAGAAAAATTGGGCTAAAAATCTAAAAAAACATGCTTATCTGAAATCATACCACATAAAATGTTAAATGCAAATAATGAAAGCCTGAATTTCCAAGTTTGACTTCAAGTTCATCTACTCTGGAAGCCTGCCTGTGGAGAGGATAGTCTGGAAATAACTGTCTGGTTGCCTGTTGTCCCTCTCTGCCAATGATGGCGATGCCTAGCACATCCACTTCTCGGGCCCCAGGTTTCCCAGGCCCAGATGTTGTGGGTTGGAGTGGGTGCTTCTTGTGAGAAATAAGTGCCACATCCAATCATTTCATGTTCTGCTAGTCCAGTCCATGCCCAAGTGACATGGGGCACAGAGCTCACATGTAGGGGAGTGTTCTCTAAGAGACGATTGACTAAAGGTAATGAAAATTCCTAGATTTATGGCCCCAGATTCCCTTGAAGAAGAAATACTCATTTTAAAGATTTCAAATTTGGAGGACTAACCAAACTGCTCATCGGAACAATGGGATTGTTATTAAAGTTACTTAGAAATGTTGACTTGAGAAATAAATGGTGGAAAAGATATGAAAGCATGAAACTAATAAATTACAATTTATGTTAAAACAAGAGGTAATAAAGATCCTTTTGGAAACAGAAAACATCTTATGTAATCATAAAAAGGGATTATTCTTATACAGGAAATATAAAGCACAATTGTTATAATTCCTTGATCTATTCTAAGTCTCAAAAGAATAGAAAGCTCACAAAGTAGGAAAAATGTCATTCTTGGCAATTATCAGAACACAAGTAACAGTAAATGTTGGCAAGGATGTGGGGGAAAAGGCTCTCTCCAATGTTGCTGGTGGGACTGCAAATTGGTGCAACCACTATGGAAAGCTTCCTTAGAAAACTTAGAATGGAACCACTATTTGACCTAGTTATCCCACTCCTCGGCATACTTACAGTGACGCAGCCATATCAATGCTTATAGCACCTCAGTTCACAATACCCAAGCTATGGAACCAACCTAGGTGCCCTTCAACAGATGAATGGATAAAGAAAATGTGGTATGTATACACAATGGAATATTATTCAGCTACAAAGAAGAATGAAATTATGGCATTTGCCAGTAAATGGGTGGAACTGGAGAATATTACGCTAAGTGAAATAAGCCAATCCTCCCAAACCAAAGGCTGAATATTCTCTCAGATATGTGGATGCTAACCCACAAAAGTGGAGAGTAAGGGAGGAGAAGAATAGAAAGTTCATTGGATTAGACAAAGGAGAATGAAGGGAAAGAAGGGGGGGTGAGAATAGGAAAGACAGTAGAATGAATAGGTCATAACTTTCCTATGTTYATATATGAATACATGGCCAGTGTAACTCCACATCATGTACAATCGCAAGAATGGGATCCTTATTAGAATACGTAATACTCCAAGTATGTATAATATGTCAAAATATACTCTACAGTCATGTATATCTAAAAAGAACAAATTTTTTAGAAAGTGACATTCTTAATTGTTCTATCAAATATTTTATATATTAATTTTTATAGATTCTTACTGTCATAGGTGTTTCCACACACAAAGAAATAGTATATTTTCCTTATCATATTTCCCCATTATATGTTTGTATAGGTGTATATGTACATTATGAGCAGCAATAAAACTAACCATATAACTTTCTCTCATTTAGTCAGATATCAGCATCCCCCTCCTGAATTCTGCATGGATACAAAAGGGTTGTTTTTGCTGTTAATTTGCAAAGTTATGCTATTGTATTTCACTCAAGTAAAGAAGACATTCAAAACTTCTTAGCATGTGTTGGTAGCTATCTGTATTTCTCTGCAAACATATCTTTTAATCTAAGAGTTGGCAGAGGTCCAAGAACATCTGACAAATGCTTATCTTCCCCTCTAGAACACTCTTTCAACAGTTGTAACTCATTTATGAGACTGCACTTGTACATCACATTCCTGTAATTACTTTATATTTTCTACTGAGCAAAAGTATGGTTTCTTGATTACTACAACTACAGAATTCCAAACTTTAGTGACTTTTGTTTTTCAGGTTATATGTGTACATTTTATAACATGAAAAATAAGTAAAGCATAAATTCACCAAGAAACATTTACTGATTCTAAAGATCTTTTCTATATTTTATAAGGCTTTTGCATATTAAAATAACAGAAGGAATACCAAGTAAATGTTTCTAGGTTCAACAGAAACCGATAAGAGACGCACAATAAATGGTAATGAAAAATGTAGAGGATACTGTCTAGAAGAATGTATTTATTCCTCCGATTGCATTTAGCAGTACACCTCTGTTCCAACAGTCTCACTTTGCTAAAGATTTTATTTATCAGGATGATGTACTAAATGGATGAAGGAAAAACATATTCCCACTGGGTAGAGGGAGGAGCAAGCTCAGGGGCCAGAGCAAGTAGATGGGGTAGAGTTTGGGGGAGGGGCGGAGTGTAGTTGCCACTAGAACTTTGGGCAAATGCCCTGGTTCTAGCCGTAAAATGGTAATGAAAATATTGTTTGTAAAGTAACCATGCAGTGCCTCACACATACTATGTTTTCAAAAAAGAGAAAAAGGAAGAAACAAAAATGGAAGACAGGAGAGAGAGGAAGGATTCTTTCCCGTAGTAGAGGTTACAGTCCAGGTTTAGGTGATTTTATTAGACTCAGCTGCTCAAGATCATGTTACATGATAGATCCATCCTACTACTAGTGCATAAAAAGAAAAAATTAAATATAAAAAGAAAAATAAATACAATCTATGGTCAGGTTTAAAGCAAAATAAACATACCCTAGGCCCAAAGATACAGAAACAAAATAGAGTGAGCAAGACCCACAGCGCTGTGGTTGGCAGTGGCCAGCAGGGGGCTCAGCCCCTTCAGAATAAAGGAGCCTAGAAGTGGTCACTACAAGACAGGGGCTGGGGGGTGGTGGGCTGCCAGGAACTAGGACCTAACTGGCTCCTTCTGTAACATAAAGTAGGGTTAAAATTGCAAACTTCAAGCAAAACTGGTAAGAGGAAAAAAAGATGAAGACACAAATAATTAATACTACCAACGGAAGGGTCATGATAGCAGATAGAATAGATAAGATAGAAATGATAAACATAAATATATATGTATATATATATGTAATAATATATTTGTATATACACATACATGCACACACAGAAACACTATACATAAATGCACATATATATCATCTATTGTAACCCCCCAAAATTTCAAAACTACTTAGCTTTAAAAATACCAATTTATAATGTTTGATTATGTGTTGACCAATAAAGTTTTCAGAATTTGAAAAAAAATTATGAATTAACACAACAAAGAACTTTATGTCAATAACTCCAAACACTTAAATGGAAAAAAAAATTGAAACATATATGTAAACTAACACAATCAAAATAAAAAGAAAACTGAAAGACTGTATTTAACAATAACCAGTAAAGCAAATGAACTGGCAATTGGTTACGTTCATCAATGACATCAGGACCACATGGTTTTACAGGTGAGTTTTACTAATCTTCAAGGCAAAGGTGATCCTTACCTTTTATAAATAGTTTGGCAGAGTAGGAAAGTGGGAGGAAAAAAATAAAAATTTCACTTATAAACAAACACCTTAAATAAATGAATTTGGTAGTATATAAGAGGGAATAAAATGTCAGAAATTATCCCAAGAATGCAGGATGTTTTAATATCAAAATTTACATCTGAATAATAAACTGCATTTCTAGATTAAAAGACAAACCCACAAACCATATTGTCATCTCAGTAGATACTAAATAATTTATTAAGGAAAAAAATGTTCAAATTTACCACTCAATTGTGAACAAAACTCTCAGGGAAAAAGAAAAAACTTCTTGGCAAATCAGAAATAGAAGAAAACTTCCTTAACCCCATATAGTGTCTCTATTAAAAAACTGGAGAAAACATCATGCATAATGGTGAACTAGTAGATTTATTTTCCTTAATGTCAGGGAAGACAAGAGTCCCATTATTACCTCTTCTTTCCCACATAGTCCTGGGCAGCCTAGTTAATTTTGTAAGACAAAATAACAACAAGTTATATGTAAGGAATAGAAAGGAAGAAGAGAAAACTATGTTTATTTGTACTCAAAATAAGTAACAACAAAATCTTATAAACCTGTTTTTAAAATTCAAATGGAGATGCTGAGGGTCAAAATGAATTAAGAGAACATTTGGAAAGGTCTTGACTTACAAAACAATAAGATTTACATTTAAAACCTTATAATGAGGTAATGTGATATTTGTTCAAAACTCTTACACACTCCAAATGATTCCTAAGAACAGACATGACACTACAGTGGGGTCATGGAAAAGCTAGACAGAATTGGTTCTGAAACAATAGAGGAAAAGTATTTGAAATTAGATCCTCATTCACAGAAATAACACCCAGCTTATGGGTGTTATTTGGTTATGATTTGACTACAAAAGATTTGAGTAGCCCAGGAGAGCTCCCAAGTCCTGCTGGTCTCTTGTTTCCTGTTAGCTTCATCCTGAACCCTTTCATTGTCATTCTGTGTTAAAATCTCATGTATGGAAAACTGAATATATTTTTCCTAAAATAATACAGAAACATGAAGTAGAAAAGTTGGTTGTGCCTGAAGATTTCATTACACCAAAAATAACAACTGGCTTTCTTAAACGCCAAAGAAAACCATGTAAAACTCTTGATAGACCAGCTGTTTGAGAGGCACTAATACATAGTTAATGACTGAATGATCCTAGTTTGTATTTCTCTGCAAGTCACATTTTCACAAAGATGTTAAATTTGCATTGCTGATATATGTTTTGTTTACACACATTTCTCAGAAGGGCCCTATTGTTTAAAGTAAATGTGAAGTGGGTCATTACAGTACTTATCCCAGAGAGATAATCCTTATATAAATTGATACCTTTATATAAATTAGTAACATATACTTACATGTTTTAGAAATTTAATTCCAGCTACAATATCAGGACAGCTCAATGAAAAGATCCAATAAAAAAAAACTCCCTGTGCATTAGTGAGCCTGCAGATTCTCCATGACACATTTTAATGACAGACTTGTTTTCAACTTCCAGAAAATCACACCCATAGCAGGCAATACCAACGTGTTAGTCCATATATTTCCTATTTCTAAACTGTTTTTAACTTTGAAAAAAGTTGTTTACATTCACTTATTACAAGCAGAAAAATGAAAATATATATAAATATTACTTAAAAAAATATAATTAAGAAGACACAATGCAGCCCCTTGCCCTCCCACCAAAACAAAGGATGTGTCAAAATCAAGTACAAATGAGAGCGGGAACTACACACAATTAAGATATTGTATTTATAGACTTTTACTGAGTTTTTATTATATTTTTAAAACCCTTTTGTCCTCACACTATTTTAATCCCTATTTTGGAGATTAGGAGACTCTTAGGAGATATAAGGAAATTAAAAATATTCGGAAATTCCAGACACAGTCTTTTACCTGCCTATTAATTAATTATGTAATAACCTATGAATATGAGATATTAAAAACAAAAAGTACTTGTCAATTTGCTAGTGGTTCTTCTTTGCTACATCTTGTCTAATAACAAATCCATGTGAAATATAGTAGCACAGAGTATAATATTTGCACTCCATTTGTATATACTGGTATTTGAAGTACAAAAACTGAATTCAGGTAGCCATCAGGTGAGATGCCATTATCCATATAGGAACTTGTATATATTGGCATTACATAATAGCAATTTATTACCTCCCAACAGTTGATCACAAAGAAAGAAGATTTAATTTCAGGAATTAAATCAGGAGCCCAGGACATTTCTAGGTCAGTGCTGGAAAAAGTTACTAGATTGGAGTTAAGTTTAGAACAAGAGAGAAATTTTTGTTAACTGAGTAAGTTATTGATTTCAATCAAACACTGGATGTTTAATTTTGAATTGGCAAGCTAGGATCTCTATTTTCCTATCAAATACAACTAAATATTATTTTAAATTTATGTCTTACATTAAAGCCAAGGCACTAGGAATAACTGAAATATCCCTGGGGAGCTGTGAGTTCAAATTTCTGGCTTGGAGTAAATCTCTCAAACTATCTCTGGAACCAAATGACGATAGAATGTAATTCTTGGCAAAACATGGAGACACTTCAACAAGACATGCCTTAAAATAATAACACATAGTACAAATAAAATCCCTGAGCTTAAAACAAAAGAGCAAAGAACCATGAAATGAAATTCTCTGCTGATTTACACTGAGAAAGCACCTGAGAAAATTCTAGAAGAAATCACAAACTCTGCATAGGACAGATATTGACTCTTTTCCATGTTAAAATTTACTTGAAGGAATCTTTTAAAATCTCCTAGATCTGTATTTCTTTTTGAAATTACTGTTTGATTTCCACATGGTCATCAACATAGGGAGGTTCCAGGTGAGAAAAGATTCTTAAAATGGTGAAAATAAGTCACAAGATTGTCACAGCAGGATATGAGAGTAATAAAAAGAAAACCGTAAAGAGAGAAGAACATTCCCCTTCTTACCTAGGTAGTGCTGAATAATAATCACTTAATAGTGCTGTGTCTCTGTGGAGTCTGTAGTGTCCCCGGTGCCTGATGTGTGACTGCAGTGTGGGTTTATATGATGAATAAGTGATAGTCACAGGCCAATGAGAGAAGAGTGTTCACTTCCACCTCAGTGTCTTCCTTCATGTCTTAGATGAAATATGCATATCCAACAGTTCAAGCCTGCAGAGACTTCTGTTTTTTATCGGTGTTTTATAAGATGTCTGTGCGTAAATAATCCAGCATGTTTGCATGCAGGATAAAGTCAGAGTCATGGTACTTACTTATGCAGATTGTATGCTCATTTATTCTTAGTCGTTCACCACAAGTTCATGGTGAATGAGAAGACATAAATCCAATTGCATCTTTTTACAGCTACACCATGGCTCTCTTCCTTACTTTTGAAAGGTCTTGGAAATTCCTTTAGTGACCACTTCTCATCAGAGCCCTCTCCCAACAATCTTACCTTTACCTGCTGTATGTTTTTTCATCACAATGTCTGATAATTCAGGGTATTTCTTCTGTCTGTCRTCTCCATCTGTAGAATGAGAGCTGCAGTTGACACTTACTTGTTTTCTTTACTGTTGTCTCCTTGGTCCTGAGAGGAGTGCCAGGATGTCATAGGCAAGAAAATACATATTTGATGACTGAATTATCCTAATTTGTATTTTTCCACAAGACATGTTTGCACAAAGACTTTAGATTTGCATTGCTGCTGGTATGTTTTGTTTGCACTCATTTCTCAGAGAAGCCATGTTGTTTAAAGTAAACCTGGAGTGGGTGACTCCTGTATTACTTATCCTGGAGTGATAATCCTTGTGTAAATTTATATCTGTATATAAATTAGTAGCACATGCCTGTATGCTTTAGAAATTTAATTCCAGCGATAATATCAGCTGGATGAAAAGATCCAATGAAAAAGCCTGTGTGTACATTAGTGAGCTTGCAGATTGTTCCTGAAACATTTGAAGTTCAAGGCTGGTTTTCAACTTCTAGAAAAATCACACCCACAGATGGCAATACCAACCTATCAGTCATGGACTATTTACTCTTTCTAAGGTGTTTTAACTTTAAAAAATTTGTTTACATCCATTTATCATAAGCAGAAGAAATGGAAGTAAATATAAATACTACTTTTTAAAAAGTTTAAGACAAAATGTAATCCTTTGCCTACCCACCAAAAAAGAAAAAAATAATAAAATAAAAATATGTGTCAAAATCAAGTGCAAATGGAATAGGAGTGGAAGCTATACAAAATTAACACACCATACTTACTGTCTTTCACTGAGTTTTTTTTTTT